TAGGAATTTGAGTTCACCTTCTAATAAAAAAGTTTTTATTTTTCAAATCTACTTTTAACCACTATTTGAGCAGAATATAACACTTTTTCTCTGATAATAAGTATATATCATAAAATAGTTTAAAACTGTATACAAAGAATAGATCATTTTGCATTTTTTAAAGAAAAAAGATTCAGATGAGTAGAAAGAAACCATGAAGTGTGTGTACTTGACTTGCCTTGGGAGGAAAAGTTCCTGTGTTGGGTTCAGTGCCAGTCATAGAAAGTGGGTCAAGAAACAGGCTTCCTTCCATGAGCAACCAGTTAGAAAAAGACATTGTGCTACACCTTTACAGTGGAGTCTCAGAAAACCTGATTATATTCCTTGCCTCCCTTAGTCTAAAAACCTACCTCTTCCTGCCTGCTGAGCAATGCTCAGGCCTCTGGTTGGCTGTTTGATACTCTCCACACCCCTGAATTCACCGTTTTCTCTTTCTACTGTACTGTTTAGCACACAGACCTGGCCCAGTATATGTCTCAGCACCCAGGAGGGCTGCATCCTCACAATGTCAGGGTGAGTACCTGAGGGTGGGGCTCCTTCTGGACTGCCCAGGAGAGGGTTTTGAAACAGATTTCCATCACAAAGCAAAGTCTCATGGCCCTAAGCAAGAAGATAGATATCATTGATATCTAGAGAAATGCTTAAAAAAAAAAAGAGTTGTCCCTCAAGTGATGAAACAATTGTCAGCTGTTTTCTGGGCAGCCTATTCCCTGTCAGTCCTTGTTACCATACAGATGTGTTTTTAGAGTAGACACTAATTACAAAGAGTGGTGTTAAAAGCAGAGAAGTGAAGCTAGGGAATCATAACATAAATATCTTCTTCATAGCGGACACTACTGCAGTTTTTATGATAAAGTTTGCAATGCTTCTTCTAGCTGATCCTATTATACATATGGGCTAAATTTCATTTTCCTGTCAGTACAATAGAAATAACAGTAAACTATTAATTAGCTGTACTTCTACATCTGTTCATTTTAGAAACCATTTGTAGTTCATACTTTTCATTGCCTAAGGTTGTATGGCATTAATTAATTGATTGACTCTTAAAATAACCATATGAGATTTGTATATAGTATATTCCTTTAACTAATATTTATTTATGGATTTGTTTATTCATTCAAGCAATATTTATTGAATACATATTGCTTTATTATATTAAGTTCTGTGGTTTCAATAACAAATAAGTTCTGGGGTTTTGGGTTTTTTTTTCCAGTACCTGGGATGAAACTCAGGACCTTGTGCTTTTGAGGTAGGCACAGTGCCACAGAGCTAAATCCCCAGCCCTTAAGTTGTGTTTCTTATTTTCAATACACTTAAGCACAATTAGCTATATGGACTTACCTGAGCAGAAGCAAAGCCATGCTAACTGGAGGTACTATGGAAGCACATAAGAAGGGGGCCTAATCTAGTCCTGGAGTCAAGGATTTGGAAAGAAAGGTTTGAAGACAAGGAGTTGTGGAAAATGAAGTAAAAAAATTAAAGCAGCTGTTTGGAGAATAGGGTAAAGAACTGGCCAGGCAAACTAGGAAAGACTGGTTAACGTGTGTTAAGGACCCTGGTAAAGAGAAAGACCATTAAATTATCTGCATGACCACGGGGATTTTTTTATGGTAATATGTAACAATTCAAATAGAGGAACAGATATTTGGAGAAAAAAGATATTTGGACTGATTCAGAGGTGTTTTGCCAGGCCCGGTGAGTAGAAAGACCAGTGGCGCAAGATAGTTGAAGAGAAGTATAGCAAGAAGTTAAATTGAGTTAAATTGCTGGTCAGTGGCTTTTAAATTTGGTTTACCCTGAAGGTAGGAAGTGAAGACAGGCTGTTGTTAAGAAAAGGATGAAAGAGCGAAGGAGCTGTAGGTGTCAAGTAAATAAAAGACAGGTGGGAGGTGTGCTAAATACTGAGAAGGATCCAAAGACACAGAAGACTCAGCTCCTGAGACTTCCTTGTAAACACGGAAGATAAAAAACATACACCAATGCTCTAACAGGAGATTTGTGAATAATGCTATGTAAGAAATGAGACCTAGTGCTTTAGATGTATAAAGAAGTACAAGTTATCTTCTGGTTTGAAGAGGTTTTGGACTTTAAAAGATGTGCTGCGTTGGAAGATGCTGGAACACCTAGTAGTTGCAGATGGTCCTGAGGGATGGAATGTTCTCAGCAGAGGCACAGAGAGGAGAAGCAAGGATGCCCTGAAGAAGAGGACCCCAGAGTTCTGTGCTGTTAGGGACAGAGGGATCACAGTGCTTTTCAATCTGCAGATTATTAAATCAATTGATTAGTAGCCAATATTTTTAAATGAAATAAAATGGATGGGACAAGAATAGAAAAATTAGAGTGCGTAGCACATAGAGTATTATTTTGTGCAACTTTTACTCCAGTTGTAATTGTACTTATATTTATGTATGGGTGTAAACACTGGATATACATGTGTTTCTAACTATGGATTGCAATCAACAAAGCTTTAAAAATGCAGCTGGTCTGACTTCCTTATTGTACAAAAGAGAAACCCAGATTTAGGAGGATAAGTATTTTGCCTGAGGTCATGGAACCAGATTTTACTATTACTAAAAGTGATTCCTGGTTAAGATTCTTTCCACTAATGCCATACTGCATTTCTGAATCTGTTGCCCTGAAATACAGGGCATATTCATGAAACAGTCTAGGGAAAGAGATTGGGAAGGTTGCTGAGGGCCTCATTTCCTAGGAATTATGAACTTTGTTCCTAAGAAAATATAGTTACTGTAAGAGTTGGAATTGATAGAGAATGACACAAAGAAAAGAGAGATGACTGTGGTCTGTGGGACTGGTTAAAAGGATGAAGAAACTAGAGTCGAGACTAGAGTTAGGATTTTAATGATGTAGTTGAGGCCCGGGCTTCTCAAGCATACGGGACCAAGTGACCAAGGGATCGAATTCAGTAAGTCCAGGGTGCAACCCAAGCTGCTGCATTTCTGATAAGATCCAAAGTGATGCCAATTCATGGTGGATGAACACACTTTGAGTAGTAAGGAAGGAGTCACAAAGGCTTAATTTATGTAGTGACTTAAGAATGGAAGGAGCCAAGTGTGGTAGTGCATGTAATTCCAGGTACCCGGGAAGCTGAGGCAGGAGGATTGCAACTTAGAGCCCAGCCTAGGCAATTTTGTAAGACTGTCTCAAAATAGAAATTTTAAAAAGCTGGAGATGTAGCTCAGTGATAGAGCACCCCTGGATTGGATGATCCTCTGTATATAAAAAAAAAAAAAAAAGGAAAGAAATGTGAAAAACAACCATAAAGAAGAATGCAATCAAGGCATCATGGCTGAGCATGAGGAAAAAGAAGAAACTACACAAGGCTGATTTTAAGCTTGAGGTCATGTCACCAGGAAAATTACAGCTCTGTTGACAGAAATAGGAGAGGTTGGCTCTGAAGACGAGGAGGAGGAGAGCTGTTTTAGACAGGCCCAGTGCCTACTGGAGATGAGAATCTAAAAAGAAAAGACCAGCAGGCAATTGAGAAGGAGAGCCATGCTCAGGAGGGAGATGTGAGCTGGGATGTAGCTTTGAGGGTAACTGCCACATGGAGTTTGGAGTAAAAGATAGGAAAGTAGATAACCATAACCATAAGCAGCAGGAAGAGATTCGTGATAGAACGTTTGCCTGTCAGGGATGAGACATAGGGGTCAGAGCAGAAAGGGCCATCTATATTGTGCTATTCCACATGGAGACCCATTAAATGGTCTTACAGAAGGAGAAATAAACTCAGATTTTCTCTTTTGTAATGCTCACTCTGATGACAATGTGGTGAATATATTGAAAGAAGGAAAATACTTTTTTTATTTTAAATTCTCCTGACCCAATATTCACCTCATTCCCCCTTCCTTACACTCCCTCACATAGTAAATGAACTTCTCTTCTTCTACTCATTCCCTAACTGCTGGTGTCTCTTAGGATCCAGGCTTGACACTGAGACTAACAGTGGCACAGATATGAGATGATGCCAGAGGAAAGCAGATAGGTGCGTGATCAATTACTGAGCCAGAATTGATGGGTAAAGGAAGAGTCAGCAGGAACTTTTATGGCTTATTTGTTTGTTTGTTTGTTTTGACACAAGGTCTTGCTATGTAGTTCAGGCTGGCCTTGAACTCACTATGTAGCCCAGGCTGGCTACAAAAGTCATGGCGATCTTCCTACCTTGGTGTCCTGAGTACTCAGATTACAGGCATGGGCCACCAGGCCTGGGTTTCATGGCTTTTAAAGGATGGATGGTCGTGCTATTCATTGAGATAGAGGAATAGGAAGAAGGTAGATTTTGGAGGTATATAGTGAAATTATGCTGAGTAGGGTGACTAGAGGATATCCAGGTAAAATTTAGACCATGTAGGTCTAAAGGACAGAAAAGAGATCTGAGTCAAAGATAAAGATTTCAAAATGATCCGAATATAATGGTTCCTTGAATCCATGCCAGTAGATAAGATGCTAAGGGAACATATGTCCTAGAGTAGCAAGAGAAGGTCAAGAATATAGTCCTAAGGTAATAGCAATACATTAGACAGCAGTAGAAGTGGTGGAATCTATAAAAAGAACAGCCAGAGAGGTAGGAGTAAAATTAGGAGACTGGAATTTCTGGGGGGATTTGGGGGGGAGGGAGAGGGAGAGAAGAGAAAGCCCTTAGGAAAGAAAACATGGTCAACAGTATCAAGTGTTGCAAAGATAAAGAATAAGAAGTATCTACTGGATTTCATAGCAAAAGGCATTGGTGACCACAGTAAAAATATTTATGAATGAAGTGGTCATGACAGCAGTCTTTTTATGAGAAGATGACTTTGGAGGACAAACGGTTCCATATGATAGCAAGATCCACTGTATGACCATTGCAGTTTGTGGCTGCAGTGAGTTGGAGCAGCTGATCATGAGCACTGAGGAGGTGGCCTAGACTCACTCTCGTGGGCACTGATGTTGTGAGACCACAGCTGTGACCCAGATGACCAAGTCTTTGGTGAATGATGGAAAGTGACCAGGAGTTCAGTAGATGAGTAGAAAGAAGGGCAAAGAAAGATGTAGCAAGATGGTACGAAAATCCAAAGGATACCAAAATTAACAGTAGAGAAGTAATTCTTTTGAAGTGGTATTGGGGAAGGAGAGTAAGCATATCCTACCTTTCAGTGGTCAAAGTTATGAAGAGAATGTAGAAAAATTCACACATACTTGAGAATGCTGTGGGGAAGCAGAGAAGTCACATCTCAGTCAAGGAAAAGGAGCCAGAAGGAAATCCATTGGAGTGGGCTGGGGGTGTGACTCGGTGGTAGAGCATTTGCCTGATATACACAAGGTCCTGAGTTCAATCCCCAGTGTTACAGCAAGAAAATAAATCCCCAGCCTTTGGGGAGTTTGAAACCAGGATTGAGGAAATACAGTGAAGAATAAAAAGGTGTGGAGAACCAGGCATAGTGACATAGGCCTGTAATTGCATCTACTGAGGAAGCTGAGGCAGGAGGAGATCACAGATTTAAGGCCAGCCTGGGCCACTTAGTAAGGCCCTTCCTGTTTCAAAAACAAAATTTAAAAATAAAGGGCTGAGGATGTAGCTCAGTGGTAGAACATTTACCTGGCATGCTCAAGGACCAGGGTTTCAATCCCTAGTGGCATAGAGAGTAAAGTTTGAGAAAGAAAAGAGCAATAGATACTGGGTTCATTGAGAAATACAGAGGAGCATGGAGATGGGTTTGTGGGAGAAAAGTAATACTTAGTGGCATATATTTTGAGAAATGACCAAGAGAGATAGGGTGGGAATCCTACTGAGGTAAGCTTTTTTCAGATTTCTAATAGAATGAGCTTCAGGGATCCCTACAAGGGGGAAGGACTCAAGCTTCCCAGCACAGAGCTAGCCGATTGTATTTCTGTGAAACTCCTAACCCTGGTGGCACTAGCCCAATGGAATCATTGTGTTTCCACCAAACCTTACTGTGTTAGAAACAGGTCTAACCCTGGGGTATGGGAAGCCTCCCTCGAAAGAGTCACCCACGCCCTGGCTTGACACTTGATCTTAGCCAAAAGGCCGAGAAGCAATAAAAGTCAGTCATTTTTTTGTTTCATTTCGGTTGGTTGATTGGTTGGTTGGTTTTGGTACCAGGGATCGAACTCACGACCTCATGCTTGCCAGGCAGGCACTGTGCTACTGACCTTAATCCCCAGCCTGGCCTGGCTTGATACTGACTGAGAAAACACCATCGGTTTTGGTTATGTTATGATGGAGTAATTGTTTAAGGAAGAATCCAGGTTGCCCAGGATGAAAGAGTGAGTGAGTGGCAAGGTTAGTCAGCATAGCCTGCACTTTGAAGATGCAGCTCTAAAACACCATCCCTTAACACCGCAAGGCTGTGATATTTCCAAATGCTCCCAGACACCTAAGGAGCAGAGAGGAAAGGGCAGGCAGCAAGAAGGTGGGAGGCGGGACTGACTCATTGAGGAGAACGATCCATACTTGGGCCATGCATGAAAGGCAACGCTAGCTGACCTACTAGGAAGCTCTGTCTCTGACTCAGCCAGCAGCCTCTCTCCTTCCAGTCACATTGCAATTTTCTGTCTTTTCTCCAGTTTCTCAGGATAGTGTAGTGGAATCATCCAGGTACGAATTTGAGCCTCTCAGAGTGCTGCGGTTGCAGGCATGAGCCACCACACCCTTCCTAGATGTATTTTTTTTTTTTGGTACCGGAGATCGAACTCAGGTCCTTTCCTAGATGTATTTTTAAAGTTTCCTTGAGCCCTGGTTTTCAAATCTGTAAATTAAGGACAAGGTGTCATCCCGAGACTGCACCCCTTACTGGTCACCATCTTCTTTCTGTTGTCCCTCACATGCCTTTAGCTCTCTCTTTCCTTCTCTTCTCTTCGAAAAGCATTTTAACCACATACTATAGTACGTTGCATGTTGCCTAGAATTAAAATTAGTTCTTTGTATTGTTTTTCTATGAAAATTTATACTCATAACTAACTAGAAAGTTTAAATGCAGGGGAATTTTGTATTTTGGTAGCATAGTGGTTTGGTGAATGGTAAAATGAATAGTGTGTATGTTGAAGCACCAAGAAAAGTAAGTTTTGGGAAGACTCAGAGGACGAGTACACATTTGAAAGAGGAGTCATAAACTTCTAACAAGGGCTGGGAATGTAGCTCAGTGGCAGAGTGCTTGCTTAGCATGCTTGAGGACCTGGGTTTGATCCCCAGCACACACACAAAGAACTCCTCTAATGTTAAATGAACTCTAATGTTAAATGGCTTGTGAAGCTCCCATGGTTGCTGCAAGGAGCTACACAGCACGTCAGAGGAGCTGTCCTGGGTAAACTCCTCCGGTTCCTGCTTCGGTCGTACTATGCTGCTCATTAACTTGCCTCCCATGTCTTCCTATCATTGTGAAGTCAGTACGGGTCCTAGCAGCTCTGAAGTTCCTAGTTTCCAAGATGTCGTAAAAAAGCAGATTTATCCACACAGCTCTTCATCTGACATTTTGCCTGTGTCCCCAGAAATGCTGGGCCTGACCATTTCTTTTCTAAACTGCCAGAACATGTTCTCTCAGGTGGCATAGGTTTTTGTAAACACTAATGTTGGTGCTTGAATTCTCTGTTGCCAGTAGCACTGGAAAATAGCAAGATGTATTTAGGATACTAAGAATTCTTTTTTTCCTCTTAAGCTTCTCTGTTGGTGTGAACCTAGTAAAGTCTTTGGTTTCTGTTTCATAACCACATGTAACACTTTAGAATTGGATGTCAGGATCTATCTTTCTTTTTTTCCCCTCTGTTACCACCACTCTTTCTCCTTTCTTCTCCCTCCTATTTATTCCTTATTCTCTTCTGGTGTTTTGTTTTGTTTTGTAGGGGGCCTAATTTCATTTGGTCTTTCTTCCTTCTAAATCAGTACTATGTATTTTCTTTGTTTTCAATTTAGAATTTAAGACTTTAAAAATAATTTTTGAAGAGAATGATTTATTTCCTAATACCATGTAAGGATGTATTTCCCAGTTGAGTTTCCTTGTATTGTGTTTTAAAAGGGTTTCATATCAGTAAAGTCTGGAAAGGTTAAACAGTTGTAAACTTTAGAATATCATTTCCAGGTCAACTTTGATCTTCTATGCCAAGTTCATTGGTGGGGAGAAATATTTTTCACATGTAAACCAGTAACTAGTGTTCAAGGGAAACTTCAAAGTTTCCCTTCAGATTTTTTTAAATTAACTTTATTGGTACATTTTAGGTATATACTATGATCACATTCATCATTGAGAATTTGTACCTGTAAATGATATATCTTAGTTCTTGTTTTTTCCCATTCCACCCCTCTACCCCTCCCTTTAGATTTTTAAAGAAATGTAATTCTTTCAGGATCAAAGAAATGTGATGTCAGGGCTAGCCAGAATCCCTTCGTTTAGGATATAATATAGTTACTTAATTTTTCTTGTCCTTTTTCTTTCTCTCCTTCTGAATGAATGTAAAATCTTTTTTTTTTTTTTTTGATCTCTCAAGACACACTTTCACTACATTCTTTCAGATGACTATTTTTGATTTAGAGGCAAAATCAACACTTAGTGGCTTAAATGTCCTTCATATGATGTTCATTCCTTCCAGCTTTTCATGTTTCAACTTTTGCGGGGCCTGGCATACATCCACCACCAACATGTTCTTCACAGGGACCTGAAACCTCAGAACCTGCTCATCAGTCACCTGGGAGAGCTCAAACTGGCTGACTTTGGTAAGTCACTCCCTGCATCTCCTTCAAGGCTGTGAACAATGCTGCCTTTGTGTGCACTGTTTAAAGCACTGATGAGGCTTGGTCTTTGAAAACTGGGGCCTGGGAATATGATGCTCTGTGAGAATATCAAACTGCCCCACAGGAAACTCGAGGCAAGAAAGAGGGAGAAAGTGGTTGCTTCTTGGGATTCCCTCAAGCCCCAGTCCAGCCAGATGCCCAAAACTTAGGCACCCTCCTACTGCCTCACTGCCATTTTTGATAGATAGACATTTGTAGACTGCAGGTTTCCCTACATCTGAGTGGACATTACAAATTCTGTCAGAATCAATTAAGTTTGTTCCAGGATGGCATGATAAAGAAATTAACCCCAGACTATAGCATGGACAACTATAGGAATGGACACTTGTTCTTGCTTGCCTAAGTATGTAAATGTAACTGTATTCCCATGAGAGTAGCATAGATTTCCTGTATCATTTTATCTTTCCCTTTTGGCACTTTAATAGTCACAGTTTATATTATATTCACATACAAACACACATTTCATACACACACAAACATTTCACGCACACACAAACATGTATACTATATAATTATGTATATACATGATATCTATACACGTGTGAATCTATATGAATACACATATATGTTTTTTTCTCCTCTACTAGACTTTAAGCATTACAAAGGTAGCTATAGACTTTTTCTTATTATTGTTTCCCTGGTTCCTGACATCATAGTAGTTGTTCAACAAATGCTTGTTGGCACATGCCAAATGGGGTTCTGTAGCTCCAGGATTTTATTCTAAGGTAGCAAGCATTTAATAGACATTTATTCACCAATTCTTCACAACAGCGATCTCCTCTGTGATGGTTTTTCCCAACTGTAGATCCTGTGATTCTGCACACAGCTAGCTGTCAAATCACACTCATTTGGCAGAGAAGGACTTGAGAGAATCATCTCAGGTTCTACTAAACTAATTTGTTTTTCGGGTTTTTGTTTTTTGTTTTTTGTTTTGGTACCGGGGATCGAACTCAGGACCTTGCGTTTGTGAGGCAGGTGTGCCACCACTGAGCTAAATCCCTGGCCCTAAACTAACTAATTTGGAAGAGCAATACCCACCCTTTATTTACTATAAGAAGGGTTCCTGAACCTCAAAAATGGAGAGCAGACATATTATGCTGCACTGAGTTTGCTCAGTTGCTGTTACAGAGATCCCTAATTACAAAGGTATAACACACTTAACATTTTCTCACGCACCAGTTCTGACCCAAATAGAGCTTGTATGGTAGCCCTGTGGTATCTTCACATGTTGAAGATACCCTGTGATATCTTCATCTGTTATGTTGCTCCATAATGCCAAAGATATTTTCCTAACTCTATATTTCAAGATGGTTGCCACTTTCTGTTCATCACAGCTCAGAGGAAGCAGAAAGGGGAAGCAAAATACTTGACTCCTCCATTAGTGCATGACCTAAAAGGTCATATTTTACCATTATACATATCATACAGGCAAGAACTTAGTCACCTAGCCACACTTAGCACCAGGAAAGCCACATCTAGCTACAAAGCAGGTCAAAATTTGAGAGATCCTCTTGATAAACTGATATACAGGGTTTAGATAGTTGAGTGGCTATACTAAGAGCATTCAAAAATTGTGTGATTTTTTTAGATGTTAGTGTGTAACTCTGCTAGTTACACACTGCCTGCTATAGCACATTCCTGTACCTCCTGGGAAGGTCTATAACAATGGGTTCTATGCTTTTCCCTTTTGGGCAGGTCTTGCTCGGGCCAAGTCCATTCCCAGCCAGACCTACTCTTCAGAAGTTGTAACCCTCTGGTACCGCCCCCCTGATGCTTTGCTGGGAGCCACTGAATATTCCTCTGACCTGGACATATGGTAAGAACTAGTGCCAAGAAAATTAAGAAAATGTGAGTCATCCTACCTATAAGGGTTGCTTATTATCTGTATTACATTTTTAATAATAAAGATAATCACTCGCATTTATATATAGAAATTTAAGATGCTTCCAAATGCACATCTGATTTGATTTTTGCAATCATTCTATGAGTTTTTACAGTTAAAGAAACCAAGTTCCAGAGATGTCCTGCCCAAATCATCTGCATCCATGCTCATCTTCCTGGCTCCTCACTTCAGTACTTTGCCCCTTCTCCTTGACACCTTCTCCTCAGAAAAAGACACATACACTCCCAAGCCACAGACATATATGCATATACAACCATACCACACACTCACATGTGTTTAAACACAGTGCAGAGCCCAGTGAAAAGGGATAAAGAGCAAGATTCAGGAGACCTGATTTTTTGGCCAATTCTATTTTTAATTGATTATCCTGGATTCTGTCATCTTGAAAAAAATCATGGGGCTGGGGATGTAACTGAGTGGTAGAGCACTTGCCTGGCATGCATGAAGCAATGGGTCCAATCCCCAGTGCCCACCTCGCCCCCACACACACACACTCTCGCACTTGTTTATCCTCTTTATGTCTGTGTTTCTCCATTTTTAAAATGAGGGTAATAAACACACCACCAGTGGATAGATGGGACAGTAAAGAAAAAATAATAACCAGATACGTATCTATCAAATAGAACCACATATTTCGGGAGGTACTCAGGTTAATGGGGTACAAAAGTGCACACAGGATCTCAGGCACTCATACATCAATGTTGTATTAATTGGGTCTTACTTCTGGAGCTCTCCAGTCATTTGGAGGCCCACAGTTGGATATGTGATGACTTTTTAGACATAGCTAACTCCTCAAAGGTGATGAAATACGTGGACCTGTTTCAAGGCCTTAGAAGACAGGCTCTGTTCCTAAAAATCAATAATAGATTTTTAAAAAATTAAACATTGCCCTAAAAAGCTAATCTAAGCTTTAGATTTCCCAAAGAATTGAAAAGGTTGCAGAAATTTTCCTTCATTATATCTAGAATCATGAGTTTCTGATACCCAGTACCATTTCTGGAAATATCACTTGCCAGCCAACTCCACCTGAAACCATCAGCTCCCTCACGTTGCTGTCACTTCAAAGGCATCTGCAGGCTTAGGCATGCTCTGCTCTTAATGATGTCTTCCTGTTGTGTTTCACAGGCAGAGAGTGAAACTGTCTACCCATCAGTTTTAAACTTTGTTTTATTATAAATATTTAAAACATTCAAAAATATATATAAGATATATGTGGATCACTGATTCTCAACCCAGGGCAATTTTGCCCCTCAGAGGATGTTTGGAAATGTCTGCAGACATTATTTGTTGTCATGGCTATGCGTACGGAGAAGCAGGTACCACTGGCATCTAATGGGTAGAGACCAGGGATGCTACTCACCATCCTACAATGCAAAAGCCAGCTTCTACAGCAAAGATCGATCTAGCCCAAAATGTCATGGTGTCAAGATTGGAAAGCAATATACATAAGAATCATAATAAAATGAACTCCATGAACCCTTTACCCAGTGTCACAGATAGAATATAATCAGTAGTACCGTCACACTGACTTGTGTATTTTCAATCAACCTGCCCCACCACTAGAGGGCTTCTATTAATTTTATTTTATTTTATTTTTTGGTCTTACCTCCTTTTAAAATAGTATTTTCACCTTTTATTCATATTCTAAAATATATTGTTTTATTTCGCCTGCTTTTCACCTTTTATGAAATTGGCATTATATTGTGCTTGGTCTTCTGTGATTTGCTTTCTCTTCACGCAATATGTTTTTAAGATTCGTCCATGTTGATCTATGTACCTGCACTTTATTTCCTGTTGATGAATATTTTGATTATTTACTTTGTTTTCTATTTTGTTTATTCCTGCTATTTTGAACAGAATCAGTATTCATATTTAAGAATTTCTCTGGGATACTTACCAAGGAATAAATGTGCCATGTCCCAGAGTGTGTGAATATTCAACTTCATAAAATATACTGGGTTTTTTTCCAAAGTGATTATAACAGTTAATACAACAGCAGTGTATTAAAGCCCCATAACCACATCTATAACCAATTCATAATATCAGAATTCTTAATTTTTGTCAAACAAATTGTGTAAAATGGTATCATATTGTGATCTAAATTTACATTTCCCTGATTAAAGTTGGCCATCTTTTCATGGATTATGTTCTTTTTCAGTGGTTTACTTGTATTTTGTTCATTTTCTGTTGGTCTCCATCTCTTTGTCTCTCCCCCTTTATTAAATTGATAGGAATTCTTCATATATTCTGGATAGTAATTTTTATCAGTTATGTGTGTTACGAGTAGTCTCTCCCAATTCAATGCTTATGTTTTCATATCTTGATGTTATCCTTTTGAACAAAGTTCTTAATTTTAATATCAATAACCTCATCAATCTTTTCTTATATAGTTAACTTTTTCTGTTTCTTGTTTTAAAAATTCATCACTTCCTGTCTTAAACCTCTTACATATCAGGTTTTTAATAAATGCATAGGTCTGTTTCTGCACTTTCTATTCTACTCCACTGGAATCAATTTATTTGTCATCATTTTATTTGCATCAATTTATTTGAACCAGTGCCACATTTTATTAATTTCCATAGCTGTATAATAACAACTGATAGCTTGTAGGACAAGTCTCCCCACCCATCTCATCTCCTTCAAGGGTGCCTTGAGGCCAGGCAAAGTGGTGAACATCTGTAATTCTAGTTACTCAGGCAGCTGAGGCAAGAGGATCACAAATTGGAGGCCAGCCTTGGCAATTTAGTGAAACTCTGTCTCAAAAATTAAAACGGGCTAGAAATGCAGCTCAGTGCAAAGGCTCTGGGTTCATTCTCAGTACCACAAACAACAACTACAACAACAAAACAAATAATAAAAGGCTGGAGATGTAGCTCAGCACTACAGCACTTGTCTAACATGCCTGAGACCTTGGATTCAATCCCCAATGATGAAAAAAAAAAATATTGACTTTTTTTTCTTCCAAGTTTTCCTATAAATTTTAGATTCAGTGTTTCAAGTTTCATGAAAATTCCTAATGGGATTTTCATTAGAATTACATAGAATTTATAGAATACTTTGAGAATAATTAACATCTCTATAATATTGTCCTTCAATTTTTGAACATGTTATGTCTTTCCATCTGTTTAGTTCTTTAGTTATTTTTGATAAATTTTTATATTTTTTGTCTAAGGTCTTACACATTTAGAAGCAAAGATTCTTGTAAGTCTAATTTATTTTCATTTGTTTCTTTTGGTTCTTGCTTATGGTGTTCTTTTTTCCTATGTATGTCTAGTTGTTTTTAACAGTGATGTATTAATTTGCTTTGGAATTTTGTTTGGGGGATTTCTTTAAAAACTTAAATGTGATGACGGGTACTCTCAGAGAAAATTTGCATTTGCTGATGTTGAGTATGTTTTTAAAGAAATGTATTAATGTATTTTATCTAAGTGTTGGCCTACTAGCCAGATCTTGATTTCTTCATACCATTGTATAAAAAGAGCAAGGACTCTTTGGAGAAATAATTAGTTCTAAAGACAAGACAGGGAAATTATAAGAGTAACCTGGAAGATCTTTTGGGGGCCAGAAAATTTGCTTACAAAATGAACCAGAAAGGATGCAAACATATCAAAGACTTGGAAGCAGTTTGAAGAAGCTGCCACTAACCAGATTTGGGACAATTTGAGTGTCAAAGTAAATAGAGTATGGGTTATAATCTAAAATAAGAACATGTAAATCCTAAAATAAGAATACATAAGTCCATACTGAAGATAGCAAACTAGCCAGTTAGATAGATACATAGGAAGAAAAGCTCCTCCCTACATTAGAATACCAACCTATAACTGACAAAGAAACGACGGGTTTGGAAAATCACTATTTTATAACCAGTATGTTGCAGGAATCCAAGAGACTGGAGAGAGAGAGAGAGACCTATGGACGGAAACAGGACATTTTATTTCAGGCTAAGGGTGTACACCAGCTCAGCGGACTCTGTCCAGAGGAAGAGAGGTGAACAAAGAGAAGTTCCAGCTTTAATACATTTTGTTTAAAGAGGTGGTGTTTCTAGTGACGTAGCAAGTGAGTTTATTGGAACTGGACAAGGGCATACAGTTTTGTAACTTTGCCTTGAAAGAAGACCGTGTCTTATGAATCATATGAGAATAGAGTGGCATAAACTTTGTTTACGGGACATAGTTGTCAATTATAACTGTACCAGAACAAAGAGTTACAGCTACAGGGGAGAGGGAGATGATGGGGGACAGGAAATTGCCCAAGGCTGGGAAGGACTTGTTTTTCTTTAAGTCCTGCTTCAAGTACGGTAGTAATCAGTTCAAACAAGAATCATGGATGCCGGCACATACCTGTGATCCCAGTTTCTTGGGAAACTGAGGCAGGAAGATTGCAAAATCGAAGCCAGGCTAGGCACCTTAGCAAAACCCTACCTCAAAAGGAAAAATAAAAAGACTTGGGAATGTAGCTCAGAGATGGGGTGGTGTTGGGCTCAATCCCTAGTACCAGAAAAAGAAAATCAAGCATTCCAGATTAGAGGGGGAAGTTTGATGAGGAATAAGACACATACAAAGTCTCAAAATACCTCTTCACAAATTACTTGTTATCACGAAGGAACAATAGCAACTTTATAGTATAGAAACTTGGCAGACAACATCTTACCCAAGTAATTAAAGTTGATATAATGAATAATGGGACTGGCTAACATCATGTGCCTCTGTCATGAGACATCAGATAAACCCAGTTTAAAGGACATTTCTACAAAATTAACTAGCTTGTATCTCCAGAAGGTCAAGGCTTTTTTTGTGTATGTGAGGGTGCTAAAAATTGAACCTAGGGCCTTGCACATGCTAGGCGAGTGCTTTTCCACTGAGATACACACCCAGCCCCTGGGTCAAAGTTTTCAAAACCAAAGAAAGATTGAG